AGGTTTAATGCGATATTTTTGTCCTGCCATCCCCACGTCCCCTCCTCAAGGACCATGGCTTAAGCCTGGCTGGGTGCAAGCTCCTAACACCCCATGGTCTGCCCAGCCCTGAATGCTTCAGCAGAACTAAAATTCATATTTTGGTGACCCTCTCGAAGGCTGCAGCACAATTTGGGGGATGAGGGTGAGGCACAAAGTGCACAAAGATTCGTAAATCTGCTCCCTGCACATTTATTTTGCCTTTGCTCCTGCAGCCTCGAAGGCTGGCCGGCCTCGGGGTCAGCAAGACCCCTGCTGCTCTCCCCAAGGCTCACCCAAGTCCCCAAATAGCCCTTGGACCCAGGAGAGGGATGAGGCTGACGAGCCTGGCTGGCCTTGACCTGCCAAAATAACCCCAGGCTCAAGCACAAAAGGAGAGGGACAATACCCCTGGTGCTGCCATTCCCCAGTTAAAAGAGTCTAAAAACCTACAGGACTCGTCTCTTTTTAATAGGTGTTAAATGACTCCAGGTCTTGGAGGCAAAGGGAATCGGTCTTGGGAGGTTGGCAGGAGAAAACTGGGGACTTCTTGCAGCTGTTTTGCCAAGCGGGAGCTCCCAAAATGCTCCCCGGCCACAGCTGGAGCAGCTGGAGCAGCAGGAGGCATTAGCAGGGATGGATAAATTATGTTTGACTTTCCCCATCATTGGAAAAGGGGTTTTCCACAAGGGTAAATAGCCCAAATTTGGGAGAATTGGCCCTCTCTGCAGGCAAGATGCCTACTAAATGTATGTGTCAAGCCCTGTCCCCGTGGTCCCCCATGCCAAGGAACCCAAGGCTCTTTCAGGTGCTCTCCTGCCATTCAACATCCCCCTCCATCTGCGTCCCAGCCCTCTGCATCCCGGCACGTGGCCACCACGAGGCTGGCCACTGCTCGAAGGTGTGTGTCGCCCGCCATCGGCTGCGGAAATTGTTCTGCTTTGCAGAAATACTCCTTGTTCCGCTTGAGAGAAAACCCTCCCTAGCCTGGGGCTTCCCTTCAGCATTTCCATCAAGGAGCTTTTCAAGTTTGGAAAGGCATTTCTTTCCACTTAAAAACTACCCTGAGTTTTAATCTGGCTCTTCCCCACCCCTCAGCAGGTGAGTTACATGTTTCAGGTTGACCTCAACTAAAAACTTCCAAATTTAATTTTTTTTTTGTGCTCCCCTGACAAACCCCTAGCATTTGCTTTGAGGTCAGTCCCTCCCCTTCCCCTCTTCCCTGCAGGCGGCTCCCTTCCCAGCCCTATGCCAGAGAGGCTTTCCCCATCCAGCCTCTTCCCAGCACAACGGTGCAAAAACATTGGTGTTTCCTCCCTTCCGGGGTGCGTCGTCACCAAAGTGTGGCACTCCCAGAAAATGCCACCAGTGCCAGCTCTGACGGGGTCCATCTGCATGGCAAGGCATCTCAGCCTGGGGTGGCTGGGCAGGCTTCGACTGCGCTTCGTGCCTTCCTTGTACAGGCTTTGGGGAGGCTTCTTTTTCCCCCAGTTTTTTTGCAACTTGGGGATGGCCTAGACCAACGGGTGGGGGGAAGTTTTTCCACTGAAAGGTTCTTAGTGAAGTTTTCTTCTGGGAATTTGTCCTGTCACTCTCTGAACTGGTACAAACCTGTAATTTCAGCTGCTCACGGTGCAGCATTGTCTCCTCGCCCTGAGCTCCTCTGCAAACCATCCTGAGCGAGGGCCTAAAGCAACCTGCTTCATACTGCTGATCTGGGTGGGCTCCCCAAACCTCTGCTACCGTCTAACGTTTCATGCTGGATAGAAACACTGATCGCCTGACAGGCTGAGGCAGCTGGAAGGAAGTTTAACCCACAGCCATTCACAGACTGTGCAGAAGGGATGTAGAGCAGCAAAGGCTCGGGCTGCGTCCGGCCACATCTCCTTCCTCACTTGGCTGTGGCAGCAGTGTCACTCCTGGATGAGAAAAGGTTCAGTCATTTCAGGAGTCGCTTCTCTCTCCCTTTTGATATCTAATCTAGTGCCTTCCTCAGAAACAAGAGATTTTCTTTCTTACCTTTGAAGTTGAAATGAGGTTGAAGTTAGGAGCATGAGGTACATGAATTGCACTGTACATGTATATACGTGATAAATGGTCCAGTACTCAAAAAGGCATGCAAAAGAGCTAAACTAATTAAACCTTTTTAATGACATTGCTGCATTGTAATTTGCCACTCAAGCTGCTTTGATAACATGCTGTTGATAATATTTACTTGTTGCCAGTACATTTATTAAGGAGAATTTCAGAGAGCCCAGGGTGCGTTGCCTTCCAGAGGACCATGGGCAGCTTTGAGCCCAACTCAAATGACAGGGTCAGGGGCTATAGAAAAGCAGGTCTTGAGGGGGATGGATTGAAGCTCCCGTTCACGAGCATTTGCTTCGCCAGTGTGAGCCTGCAGGTCGCTCCAAGGAATGAGATCCAAGCTGGAACTGAATTGCCTGTTTATGAAGATGTCTATTTAATGCACAGGGTGATCTCAATAAACACCATCACCAAGCCTCCAGAGGGACCAAAACTGGGCTCCCTGCCCATGCACGGACACTTGCTCTGCACCCAGCAAATGCCACCTTGTATACTTGGAAACCCCGTTGGCCAAGGGAGCTGCAGATCTGCAGTCGCCCACTGCTGCAAGAGGCATCTAAACCCCCTGGAGACAGCAGCCCTGCCCCGACACACCCTGCATTGCTACCCCCCGGGAACTCCCCTTCCCTGCAGTACCTCCCTTCAAAACAGGCTAGAGAAAAATATTTCAGGTGAACAGAACCTGTTCATGGGGCTTTACACTGTGGTTTCTTCCTGGGAAGGCTTTTTATGACATTGGCTAAAGCCAAGAGCAAGCTCCTCTTGGCTGCGTTCGTGCATGCAGCGTGGTTCATCTCTAGCAGCTCCTGGAAATTTGCAATTCGTTTTTCAAATGGAACACCCTTTCCAAGCAGTTGGACTTTGTGCCCCCACATGCGGTGCTCCGTCGCTGCTCAGTTTAATCAACCACTCTGTTTTGCCAGTCGGTTTTGCTGGCAATGCCAGCAAAAGGCAGCTCTGGAGGCCAATGCTCAAAGCTGCAGTCTTCCCAATAGAAGTCTCGAGGTAGAAGGATTTAGTCCAGGGACAGGCGTCATCTTCCAAATCTAGCAGGAGCAGTGAAACGAGTGACCGTCCATCCCAACTCCCCAGTGCCGCCCAATGATGGGAAAAGACTGTTCATAGAGCTCACCTGCAGAATATTATTTATCCCTTACCCACATCCATATCAGCTCAATCAGTTGTGCTAAAATCTTAAATTTCTCCGGCTGCTCTGAACTGAACTGGCTCTAAAGATGGGAAGAGCACCAGGGTCGGTTGATGAGATCCCAGGAGTTACATGCTAAAGGAGGAGAGATGTGTGTGTCTGCAGGCAGACAAGGCAGAGGCAGAAGCATGGACAATTATTTGGCAATAAAAATTGATGCCTCACAAATTTATTGCTCTTCTTTGAAGCAGCCAGCAAGCACATGGCTAAGGAAGATGTGGCACATTTTTCTACCTGAATTTCCAAAGGGGTTCGCTAAGGTCCAGCAAGGGCTTTTCAAGAAACTAAGCAGCCTCAGGAAGGTCTCATCTAGACAGGTACTGTTAGGAGACAGGAAAAAGATGGGAGGGATAAAGGTTCAGATTTCACAGTGAAGGATTTGTTCTTCAGTTTGTGCTGATCAATGTATTCAACCAATCTGCAAAGCGGAGAAAAACCGGAAGGTGGCAAAGGTTGCTAATGAAAATAAGGGACTTGCAGTGCTAAAGACAAGGTCTTGCTGATGGTCCTTCTTCTACAGAATGACTGCGGGAGGAAATGCAGAGGGAATTCTTTGGAAATGTTTGCTAAATGCCGCTGATGGAGAAAACAATTGCACCTCTGTATGTATTGCTGGACTCTGAGCCGATTTTCCTCATGGAAACATCCTGGGGTCAGGACAGACCTTTGAAAAGCTCAGCTCAAGGATCAGTAGCAGTCAGGAAAACAAACAATGTCCAGAGGTATCGTCAGGGAGCCTGGAAGGGCACGGCTGTGTCCGCCAACTCCATGCAATGAGGCTCCACAACCTGAAAAGGGAACAATTTCCAGTGACATGACCTGAACAGCAGCAGGAAGCTCAATAAAGGCCAATTATTCACTGTTTTTTAAACACGTGGCCTAGAGGCATCAGCCAATACCAGAAGTTGCAATGTTCAAGGCACAGAGGAGGAGGTAGCTCATCACGTGCTGGTCCTGAGTGTCTTCTTGCCACAGGGTGCTGCAGGCACTAAAACTTATGGTTCTTTCAGGGGCATCCTTGGCACCCCACACCTTACCTGCACCATTCTGCTGCTGTCAGACCCCTCCTCAAACACACACTGTCTTGCTAACCTGTACAAAAAACAGCCTTGTAAAATAAATTGAGTTGTTTTCTGCCCGTTTAGCATTCTGATGCAGCACCCCACAGGCAGTTAGGGAGAGCCCGAGGCAGAGCAAGGGCAGGACTGGGGCTGCGGGTCTGGGAGAGAGGAGCACGGCCAGTTTCTCCTGCAGCAGCAGGCAGCCTCGTGGTGTGGCCACCCCTTCAAGCCGCAGCTCAGCACAGTACAGTCATTGAAACAGGTTTATGATAGGTATTGCTATCACCTTCCCCTCTTGGCCACTTGCTTTGGCTCTCCAAGCTGTGGAGGTGATCCAGAATTGATTGCAGAGACTGAAGGTGAATTTCTCCAAAGACCAAGCAGCAGCCAGCATAACAAGTTGTTCAGGTAACTAATAGATCAGCAAAAAAGCAATATACTACTCTATCTGACAGTCTATTCTCCAGTAAGACAAAGACGTACAAACACCTAATTGCTTCCTTATCCTTGTTCGCTTCAAAGCTCCTCTTGTCCCTCCATTTCCATCAAGTTCAACCGTCCCGTGAAATTGCAACCCGCCAGCAAGGACAAAAAGATTGCAGCCCAGCAGAGAGCTGAGCAAACAGCAGTTACACGAACCACTCAGACAGATCGGGCACAACCTGGTACCTGGCCTCCGTTGTCTGCAAGAATTGACAAGCTCTGCAGAGATGCAGGTCCCAGCCGGACTTCACCGTGGGTTTCAACCACTTGCGCCACTGGAAGTAGCGCTGGGCATTCTCACTCAGCTCCCACAGGTACTGCGCCAGGTCCCCAGCGCTGGAAAAGTCATCGACATGGATGAAGGAGTCAGGGGGCAAGAAGTGCTCATAGTTTTCTCGAGGAGGCCCCAGCACGACAGGGACAGTGCCAGAGGACAAGGCATTCCTCCAGACCTTCTCGGTGATGTAGTCTTCATGCTGCGAGTTCTCGAAAGCCAGGTAGAACTTGTACTGGGATAGAGTGGAAAGGAGCTTGTCCCTGGGCAGGGGCAAGTGCTGCTTCCCATAGATGTCCACAGTGATGTGTTTCTTCAGCTCCTCGTAGTACTTTACCCGGTGGGAGGCTGCTTGCCAGTTGCTGACTACCCAGGCCACCAGCTTGGTCTTGGGCGGGATGCTGAGGGGCTGGGGCTGGCCGAGGAGCTGCAGCTCCCCATAAGGGGTGTAGATGTCCGAGTCTCTCCGGTAAGACATGGTCAGGTTGAAGAGGTTGTCCATGGCGATTAAGTTTGGAGAGTGACTTGGGGACTCCAGGTTGAACCAGATCCAGCGCTGAGAAGGGAGTCTGGGGATCTGGGCCAGCCCCTCCGCCTCCTTGTACACATCCCTGTGATGCATAATCACAGCATCAGCCTTTTGGGACCAGCTGCGATTGATGGTGAAATGGCAGTCCGGGATGCTGTAGACCACCGAGCAGTTTCTGAAGTTAAAGTGGTGCCCAAAGGGCCACTTCCACAGCAGGATGGTCAGCCTGTGTTCATCCTTTGGTGGGGCGCTGGTGTTTCCAGCATGAGCTGTTTGTGCAGAGGGATTAGAAACATAATGCTCTGGCTCAGAAGTCATGAACTGACGAAGAGAAACAAAGAGACAGGAGATGAAGATGAAGCTGAAGAGCAGGAAGGTGAGGGGTTTCTTGCAGATCTTCTTCCCTTCCATGACCTCCATGAATGGATCTGCAAACACCACAGACAGGACAACGAGTGATGGGTGCACACTGACCCCAGCAGGGAGGTGGCTCTGGGTGCACAGTTTGGCAGGGAGGTACGCACAAGAGACAGCGCGAAGACCTGAAGCACATTTACCTCCAGCCACCTCTTTGCAGAAAGAAAGGTCTCTAGAGTGCCATACAGAAGGCGCTTACACACACACTCCCCCGCAGGGCGCAGACGCCCTTCCACAGACCCCAGGCTTCCCTCCATCACCACCCACTGCCTTTCCTCCTCAGCCCCTTCTCCCCCCGCCTCACTTCCCAGAAGAGCCGCGAGCAGCCCGTCGCGGGTTCCTGAGGACACTCAGTCGCCGGGAGGCCGGTGACCCTGGGGATCTGAGAAGGCAGAAGCGCCACAGCCACCACTGAGAGACACGCGAGGCAGCGGCCGGGGCCTCGCCCGCCGGCTTCCGCCAGAAATCCTGCCCCCTCCCAGCAGCCCCAGGGCCCAGAAGCCACTCCCCCTCTTAGTCATGTGCTCTGCTGTGATTGGCTGGCAGGACGCCTTCCGGTTTACCCAGAAGTACATCAGACCCGGAAGGCCTTTCCTCTACCTCCATGGGGCTGCCATTTTGTTTTGGCCGCCATTTTAGGACAGGGTGCCACCACTGTACGGCAGGGAGCTGCCCGCTTCCCTAAACGTCGTACTGCTCGGGGATTGGCTGACAGCCGTCTCTTCGCCACACCATTCCCACGTGTTCTCGGGCAGCCCCGTGATTGGCGGGCAGGACTAGCTGGCAGTGTAGCCTGGGGCACATCAGGGAAGGACCCCCATGGGAGACCGCCGCTTTTGACAGTGTCGTTCCCCCCACGTGTTCTCAGACAGCCCTGTGATTGGCTGCCTACTTCCTTTGGACCAGGAAGCAGCCCTGTGATTGGCTGCCTGCCTCCTCTGGACTGGGAAGTGCTCATATATAAAAGTATATACATTTGTATACAATATATATATTGTATATAAATGTATGTTTTGTACTGCTATACAATACATAGAAGCATACATAAAGGAGTGTACAAATAGGTATAGTTAGTTATTTATTTAGATATAGGTACGCTTTTTTATATATTCTTCTATATACATATAGCTGTGTATATATTTTTTTTATAGATATACACATCTATAAAGCTATAGAGATTAAAATACATACAACCATAAAAACATAAAATGGCCAGGTTCCCCCACTTTACCATGTCTGGGGTGGGCAGAAACTTCATGAGGGCAGAGGGGTACCAAAAGGGTGGGGGGCATGGAGACGTCGGAACATGCCCAGGGGCTACAGACCCCTCCAAGGAAGCCACCAAGGGGCCCCCAGCACAAATCCTGTCACATGCAAAGATGAGTCCAAGCATCCGAGCCCAGCCCAGCAGGATGACAGAAGCACCGGGGCAGACTTTGGACTTTGCATGGGGCCGCAAGACACAGGCAACGCTGCCTGCGAACGCAGGAAACCAGAACAAAATGCCAACTTCAGAAGAACATGTGTGTGGGCACAATAAGGAAAGGACCCGAAGGGGATCCCCCGAAAGAATGGGCCAAAGGGCCCGTGAACCACAAACTGGATTTTGAAGTCAGCGTCACACAGAGATGGCAGGTGGGGGACCTCCCTTTCCCCGTGGTTGTGGGGCATCTGACAGCTACCTGTAAACCATTCTGGTGTGCAGGCTGGTGCTATATGTGTTTCCTTGTCTTTCGGTTGATGACTTTATTGAACATTTCAAAACAGCTTATCTGTACTAACTAATGGCTTTGTTTAACTGTGTGTTTTGCTTCAGCGTCCTGTGAACAGTAGCCGCAGCCTTCTCAGCACAGCTAGCACCTTTATGACCACCACCCCCTGACTTCTGACAGTCTCTGTCATAGCACCACCACCAGCGCTTTTATAACCAGCAGCCTGCTGGCTTCTCCTGTACCAGATAATAGTCATGGTCTTTCAGGTCTGCAACACCCCATTGCTTTTACTAATCCACTTGCTGTGGTCTCTAAGAGCACGGGGCTGCTGTCTGTGCCCCAAAGCCTGGGTCTTGCTGCTTTTGCAGTCATCTGGACTGTCCACCAGGACAGTCTTGATTGCATGCTTGGTCTCTACCTCTTATTTGCAACATCGACCTAAGGACAGGAAACCCATATAGCACCAACCTGCACTCCACCATGGTCTTACAGGAAGCTGTAAGCTGTTCCCTCACAACAACAGGATTTCCAGCAGAAGCTGGTGGGTGCGGAACCTGTCACCTCTTATCCTGTATATCAGCGGTACCTATACTACTGACAAACACAATATGAAAATACAGAGGGAAGCAGTGCCTCCCTGCAATCAGGGGTGAAAACAGATGTCCGCAGACCCCCTCCCTCCTGTACCCAGTGCCTCTCTCTCACAGCCCGAGTCAGGTTCCTCCTCCAATAGCTATTGAAAAGAGAAAGGACTGTTGCAACTCACCTCCAGGCTTGGTCCTGGTGAGAAAGTGCACCATGCAGGTGAGCACTGAAGTGGATGACACAACCAGGAAAAGAGGAGAAGAAAGGAGAGCACAGATGCAGGGAGGGATCGGCAGTTCGAGGTGTTCCTCTGTGTCTTGAGCTGCGCATGCTTTATAACCAAAGCTGTAATAAAACCAGGACAAATTCCTCTTTGACAAATTAAGGAGCGGTCAATTAAAGCAGCTGAGATGTTGTTTGTGGCTAAAGCATACCTTACCACTGAAAGCACCTCTGCACATGCACTAGTCTGCTTCCTTTGCCAGTCTCAACCCACAGGATTTGCTTGTGATATGCTTTCTTCTCCACCTTGTGTCGCAGGAGGACAGCTCTGTTTGGGAAGGATGGGCAAAGCTGGCATGGATTGGAGGTGTAGGCGTCAGGTCTGTGAGTCCCCCTGCCAGCTAATGGGCTTCATGGCGCAGCTGCCTCCATCTCCACGCCAGGCCACGTCTCCTTGTCACCTTTCCAGGATCTCAAGCTAAAGCACGTCTTCGGACTGGTGACTTCAGCAATCACCATGAGCTTCAGAGTGGACAAGCACTTGAGCAAGACTGCCTGGGAGATCCCTCCTGTGTCCAGCACCACAGACCATGCTTTGGAGCGTCTCCAGCCCAGGTGAATAGGCATTGTACATCACAGTCAGTGGACATGAAGAGGATGTTTGTTTGCTATGGCCAGAGTTAATTGACCTTGCATCAAGCTTGGCTGGGATATAAAAAAGCCATTATGTGTTATTATCAGTCTTAAATACATTCAGCTGTAAATATGGATTGTTGGTCTGGCATTAATTCACAGAAGGAGTTTTAATGCAGGTTGGGGCTGTTTTGGGTGGGCAAGGGGATTGTAAATGGGCAATACAGGGTGGAAGACTTTACATTTCCAGGCCTTCTACCAGCAGGTGTGTGTTTCCTGGTACAGAGTTGGAGGTCACCTGAAGTGTATCCAGGTGCCTTCTGCAGACTTGGGAGCACTCCAGCACAGGTGAGAGCAAAAAATACCCCATGGCATGAGGATGGGGGCCATAACTCATGGTTTGCTCACCCCAGGGTGACCCAGGCAGCCTGAGGTCTCATGGCTCTTCCTGGCTCTGAGAAGGTACCAGCCATTCAACTGCTCTGCCTAGAAATTCCACACTTGTGACTTCTTGCCCTTTCCCCATGGCACAGGCTACACCTATACTAGTAACTTAAACAATACGAGGGCACAGGCTCTGGATTTAATTCACCTAAAGGCTGAAATTTGGCCCAGCTTTGGCATGATCCAGTTAGTGCTATGCCAAATGTGACCCAGGTGCAGTTTGGGAGTTACCAGGGGAAGCAACCATTCCCTACAGGTAGTCTGCATGTGGCCACTCCTTGGTTGCAAAAGGATTTCTCTAACATGAACATGACCCAGCCACACCAGTTAGCCTCCGGAGAACAGATTTGTCCTACAAGGGTAGATGCAGTCGTGAAGTTCAGGCGTTAGCCGGCTTTCTTGCTGAGGGTCCATGAGCTCTGCAGCCAGCAGCACAAATGAAGATCCCAGATGCAATTTTACTCAAGGCTGTAGAGGAGAAAGAAGATTTGAGTTTCCCAGCACCACAGGAAGCCCTGAGTTGAAGGATCCTGTAGCACCAGATAAGAGGCTTCAGGCAGGTGGAAAATGCAAGACTTTTGTACCCTGGAAAATCAGGACCATAAGGAACTTAAGCTCAGCAGGGGGAATTAATGTAAATGAAACAAATGAGCAAGTGTGGGGAAGCCATGGAAAACAGTCACAGAGCTGTGGACTGAGAATTGTTGCAAGTGGCATATGTGACATGAGGTGACAGATCACTTAGTCCAGAAGGTGATGTGAGATTGTAGCACGGACAGAACAAAGAGGCTGTTCAGGTAATACACTTGGCAGGACCAAACGTGGTTGACATGAAGACTTATTGTTATATGATGAATAGCCTCAGTAACCCCTACATCTGAAGACAAATAATGCTGTGTTTTGGAGAAGCTTCCTGGTTGCTGATCCAGCAAGTGACAGCAGAGCTTTGGATGCTGAGCTCTTGCCCAGGTGAGCACAAGAAAATGCAAGGACTGAACTCCCTGTGCCAACGGGGCAAACATCGCTCACCCAGGGATGCTAACAGGTGAACAGCTGAGACCATTTACCTTCAAAGAGGTCACCAAACACAGTTAGTCCACAATGGATAATCCACAATGATGGATTTGCAAACACACTGGATTCATCTACGTTACTAAATAAATGGGCCAGAGACTAGTTTTTGTCCCTGAGGCCAAGTGACCCAGCTTGACTCCCATCCCCGCTGCTTCTCGGTCAACTGCAGCTGCATCCAGGCTTTTTGCTGGAATGGTCTCTGTCCTGGGCTATCCTTGGACGATCTCTAGATGCTGTTTGAAGGGCGCTGTTTGGCATGGGCTAAAATTGTGGCAAGCTGTGTGCAGTACTGTCCTGGTTTCGGCAGGGATAGAGTTAATTTCCTTCCTAGTA